TTTCTCTCTTTGCAAAGAGTTGATTTAAAATAGAGCAAGCTCTCTTATTCGTATAAACTTATTGCACCCGAGAATCCCTCAAGCGAGAATCATATTCGTACAATGGTCTTCATCATCTTGTTTCTATACTTGCATTATTACATAATGTACGCGAGACCAATTTTAATGAATATACATTACATATATTCGAAATAATAATAATATTATCGAGTCAATTATCATTTTCTATTTTCGAATGATAATTAATTGTGTCACTAATTATACATATAATGTGTGATATAAAAATCGGCCATATGTACTTATTGATTATTTTATTTATATTAGGTATATTGAAAACAATTTTTAAATTAAATATTCATTTGAGAATAAATGACGGAAGAAGAATGCAAAGGATTCACTTATTATATCGACGTTTAATTATAAAGGGACTTGAGAATTGAAATAAATATGCGTTTGCTCTTTCATATCGCGTTACAATTGACAAAGAACATATATAGCAATAACGTTAACACGCACGTGCCCGCAACAAGGGTGTCATCCCTCAGGGCAATTAGATGTACTCTCTGGGAAAGAAAAAGATAAACGGCGGGTCAGCCCGCGCAATCTAATTCCAACCCTATGCAAATCGAGGCCGCCCTTAACTGGCTGACGTTTCAACCCTTGACACTCACCCCTAGTTGGCGCCATAGGTTCGTACACGTAATTCCGCAATACTACTTCCTTCGATTCTGTACAACGTGCCTTAAATTAACTCCAGCTGCTCCTCGTGCGTTTGTCTCTCCCCTATATAAGAACTTTCTGTTTAGCTACCTCCTGCGTACAACAGCCAATTTTAACGAAAGTTTTTTTATCGTAAAATTTGCAAGTCGAGAAATAAGTCTGTATAATAATATCCATAATTTAAAACATTAAACAAAATTTTAATCTCTCTTCTTCTCAAATCAGTCACTAATGCTCTATCGATGAAATATCTATATATATATAAATATTCACTTATTTTGAATAATTTAGTTTTATAATAATTTATTGAATAATTAACCGATGTAATCCCTTGATTATTAACTGATTTATTACTGTCACGGATTATTTTATTTTCTATATTTACTGACCGTGACATATAACATTTCTCTCACTGTCTAGTAAGAGAAAGTAACAGTATACTTGGTTCAAACATAACTCCTCTAGACTTTTCGGAAACGTTATATTTCTCTACGAAAATAATACGCTTGCGACACAAAGAATATTCTTCCGGAAGCGAATATCTTTCTACTTCGTCGCGACATATATTCCTCGGTGCAACTGCTAACACAAAATCGTCTTTTTATCTGACTATATCTCCTCTCGTATCTCCGCGCACCGCTGTTCTCGACTCATATAAATCATGATGAATGAGAAAACAAGCAGCGCGCGCGTCGTACTTGAAAACATCCCCTGCGCAATATTCCTATCTCTTCCTTTCCTTCCCCATCCACCCTCTCTCTCTCTCTCTCCCTCTCTCGACTCCCGGTACTAATTCCAACAAAAGGACCTCTTCCGCACATGGCTGGTCCTACGCGGCGCGGAAAATGGAAAACACACCGCGCAAACACGATTCGCTCCCTGGCCGTCCGAAACACGTTGCCGGGTGGATTTTGCCGATGAAGGGTGGTGGTGGTCGTCGCTGGAGTGAGACAGCGAAAACGGGGGTGTTTCGCCCCATTCTGCCTGCGAGCTTTTCTACCCAAGTTACGTCGACAAGGGGGTGGATGATAGTGTGGCAATTCACGGATGAATGTCGCTCGAGTTATAATTGCAACGAGCCATAATTAGTTTTCGAAATTTAATTATTTCCGTGTTACGCGATAAATGCCGCCGGGTAACATTCGTAAAAGCCTCTTCGCGAAGAATTTATTTGACGATTTTACCGCTACGCGTAACGTACACGTTAATTTCATTTCGGGTGACTTCTCGAACGTCGGACTGGGGAGAATTCCTGTAATTGCGAATCGTTCGTCCGCGTTTCGCCAAATGGACATTACGTTTTACTTACGCCGACTAAAACTGGGCGTCTGCCGGCGAAAGCAATTTCTCTGGGATTTAGCTAAATACAAGTTTATCGTTTTCCACGTGTACGTACGTGAATGTATGCGTTTTGCTCATTGTTTTCTCCCGGTATAATAAAATCACCGTTTTCAAATAATATCACATTTAAAATATTTGAAAATATAATTAATTAAAAGACAAATAATTAAATTGACTTTTGTATATTTTTTTCTGTTAATTGTTTTTATAGTGTTCAGCGCATAGATATTCGTAAAATCTAGCTGTCGCGAGATCATAAATCGTCAGGATAAATCCATTGGTCAATCTTTAAAATCGCGATTCTGCAGACTGCACCGCTCGAAGGCTCCATTAGCGATATGAAATTTTTCGTTATGCACATGGTGCTCCCACGTCGATGTGCAAAGTTAAAAGTAAAAGTTAATTGAACGCATGGCATACTACAGCCCGACATGTTTACATTGCGATTTATCTCTCCATCGGCAACGCTTTTGCCATTTTCGTTAAGATAATTGCAACTGAATAGAGGCTTGATTAAAGCTGACAGATACACGTGGTGGATGATCGCTCATTTCGATTATTCATATTTTTTATGCGAAAAGAGCTCTAATTGTACATTTATTCCGAGGTGCGAGCATAATTCACGGTGCATAACGGAATAAACACAAGGAACTTTGTCGGTTACGGCAATTTCTCATATGCTTTGCGTCATGCTTTCGTCTATGTATATCCTTGAATACACATTATTACATCGTAATGCGTGCGTATTGTGAAATGGAAAATATAAAAAAAAGTTATTAATTGATATTATGGCAAAGAGTTTTATTGCTTTTATTTTCATTTATGCGTTCACAGTTAGCTGTAATTGAAATTAAATTCAGAAATCAACGAATGGATCGGAGTTACGTAATTAATGATAAGTACTTACGTTTTTGCTAACGATTTTAAAATTTTATTCTGGGCAGCGCTGAAATGAAATAAAAATACGTGCTCGCGTATATGAATGTGTACTTACACATACATACGTATTTTATTATAACCAATTTCACATCGCGAATATTTTATATTTTGTGAAATGTGCTGCTTGTGTAATTGAATTTTAAAGATTAAACGTTTTTGATTGCTACGTAATGTATAACGATCAATGATTATAATATCAATCTTGATATCTGTATTGACATTGATATTGTAGTGGCTGATTGTCACATTACCATGTAGCAATTGAAATCTTTTATTTTTTTTTTCAATTTAATTGTTGATATTTGTTTCCATTTGTCATAATTGTAGCTTAAATTCTTTACGTGCCGATGACATAAATACCGTTGCATATTCATATTCACGCTTATTGAAAATAAAATATTTAATTGCGAAGAAAAGTTTGACAGGTTCTGAGCGCAGTGTTGAACAATGTGCATTTGTTGTCGCCACCATTATGCGTGTTTGTTAATTGCGTTTTTAGAAATTAATATCATCGCTCTTGCCAACAGTTTGCATTCCGTGTTCATTGTTCCGCATTCTAAGGGCAAATATGTTTACATACGCGCGCACACATACATACACACATGCATGTGACGCTGTTAAAAATTTATCAATACGCAGGCCACGCAAATGTTGGAACGATATTTCATCTCTCGGATCTTTACATCGCTACCATGGTTTTGTAATTCAGCACGTTCCCGCATTTTTGTGACGCATGACGTATATACTAGCTTACATATGTAATCATATATGTGATAAAAATTAAAAAGGCTGTTATAAAAATTCAGGAAAAGAGGATTTAAAATATTATATTATTTATTAAATTTTAGTTTCTATTAAAGTCAAATTTTTTATTAATTCTTTAATATTGATATATTAATAAAAAGTTAAAATGATTTTTACTGTAGGGAATAATTGTATATTCAATTTTTATATATTTTGATCTAATATTTATATGTATCAAATATAATTTTGACTAAAAAATTTACATACACATACGTTACGTTTTTGTAATAATTAATTGTTGCTCTGCCAATTATGTTTTCGAGTTTCATATAAATATTAATCTAATAGGACCCTTATGAGATGAAATGTTGTTTCAATATGCGGCAAATTATCACCCTGCGTAATTTTCGTCTTCATTAGAAACAGACGCACGAATTCTAAGGATGAATGCGGGCGACATCTTAAAAATTTATAGACATCACCAGTCGCACCCTCTTGGCGACTATTCAAACGGATCCTTACAAAAGCTGTCTCCCTCCGAAATATCGTTCGGTGCTTTGCTTGCGTGTCGCACCCTCGAAACTCACCCTCTCTCGCACTATGGTTTATGAATCTTTTAAGAATGCATCTTGGTATAGAAAACCGACGACGCGATCTTTGTTCAGCGAACTCGTTTACAAGATGTCTCGAATTTGTTAAGAGTCTGGAGAAATGATTAAAAATCGAAATTAATCGAATTTCTCACGACGTTGAAACAATATTAAATGTTATTATTATTAGATACATATACGTACACACGGATAAAAGATTTTCAAAAATGCAAAAAGATTTTTAAATTTTAAAGAAATAATCCTTAAATATGATTCGTACATTTTTTCCTTATCATTTATATTTATGGTTTTCGAATAATTGAAATTGATTAAAAATTTAAAAAGACGAAGATAAATACTGTTAATATACATAACATATATATATTAATAACATATTTAGTGAACAATTAATATAATAATTAAAAATTTCGCAAATTAGTATTTAATAAATTTTAGCATATGTACTAATAATAAATACACGTAAGTGTATCGATTTTCTCCATCCTCCCTGTTTTCATCATAATTTATTATAACATTTGTAACTGATAAAGGAAAAGATTCTTTGATATAGCATAATAACTTTATCAAATAGAAATAAAACTTTTAAGCTATTTCAGGTATTTGCAAAATCGTCTCTAATGAAGCTTGTTTCATTGTATGTTTTAGCGATCATGGCACATTTCTTCTTCCTGGCTGCTTTCTTCTGGCTGAACACGATGTGCTTCAACATCTGGTGGACATTTCGGTGAGTCATGATATTTTCCATCATTACGTCAGTTTTGAAAAATGAATATGCTTTCAAGCGCGAATGGAATTGCACATGGATATGTGCAATATAATACGAGATCCGTTATTTCATGATCTCAAGAATGATCTTTATGAAACATAATTTTGAATAATTGTTAGGTAGGCTATTGAAGTCTCCATAATACTTTATACTTGAAAATATCTAAGAATTCGAATATCCTTTGGTACTTTAGATGTTCGTAATCTTACGTTATTGTTCTCTGAAAGTTTTTGGAATTTGCGGAATGTCGTTGTACCTCGCGACGTTATCTATAAAAATATTAAAGAAAGAAAAAAAATTACTCGAGACAAAGAAAAGACAATACAGACACTTCATCGATTCTGCTGCATAATAGAATACCGATGCAGGATTTCATTATCGCGATATAGTAGATAAATTTATCGTTAAGTAGTAATAAAATGTAATAGTTAAACGTCGCGCAGTATGGACAGTATCCTATTTTCCTATAGATCCGAAGGAATTTCGAAATATTCGAGCGAGATATTATCGACTCGTAATCAAAAGTGTCGAAATAGAGAGAAAGAGATAAACATTTGCCTCGTAACCGGATAACGTTTTGCGGTTTTATCGATTTGAACCGGTTTAGCTTTAGAGCACGTTGCTTTTATTCCTAGAATAATAAAATACCTAATTATCCCGACGAATATCGATGGCGCGAGATAATAGCGGAATAAACCCTAATTAACGCGTCGCCTCATTATGTGGTCCGAAATAATTATACAATGCGGATAAATCGTCCCTACGCGGGCAAACGATCATAATAATTGAACTAAATTTCAAACGAGCTTTATTTGTTTCTTGCCTATGGCATTTTAGTATTTATTTAATAACTAATTAAAGTTTATTCATCCATGCATAATTATAAAAATTATTAGAATTGCGCGAGAAAACATAAATCACAAATGCAATATGTATTCTCATTCCTGTCACGTCTCGTTCACGTAAACGCTCCGATTAAAGTACTATGCGGATTATAAATTTGTCTTTAAAATTCATATAACAAAATTTTTTGATCAACATCCGCAGTAATTATATATATTCAAAGGAAAAGTATCGAGTAAATAAAATTTTTATGGCAGAGAAAAATTTTTTTCAAATGCCTTTTTCGATAATAATAATTTTTCTTATATTTAACAATAGTTATAATATAAATAATTACATCTTGAAAAACTGATAATTTCCCTCTGAGAAATCTGATATAGAAATAAAAAATATATTACTTATATATTTCGCGTATAAAGAAATCTTGCTATACAGCGAGAAAAACTTTATATCTCTATAATACTTAAAAATATTTTACATAAGCTTTTTAAAAATGAACTTTATATAAATGGACATTAAATAAAGGGAATAAAAGACAATTATATATATTATGATTTGTAATCAAAAGTCGTGTAAGAATTGTGATCATTATATAGGAATAGTAGATTGTCGTCACACGAGAGGAGCTTTGCTCGTCGAAGGAGAATTAAGATGAGAGATTGGATCAGGATCACTCGGTCGGCTGGTTAATGTGATGCAACGCGGTCACTATATAACGGGTCTCTTCTTCGTCTTACTCTTGGCGTATACTCGGCTCCACTCTCTCACTTCCGCTTTCTTTCCACCGATCAATCGTCTCGTCTCTCGCACTGTACTTCTTTGCACGTTAGTTTACTCGGTTGATCGAGGATCTATCCATCGTCTGCATCTCGTCATGCTTAATTATTCACACTCGCAATTGAATCGGCGCGATTTATGATGCCCGCTTCGAGGTAGAAATTGATATAACAATTTCAGTTAACACAAAATCATATACTACTGTGCTCTCGCATATTTTATTACTCTTGGCTTTTGCATATTGTATTACAAACCAGTTGCAATTTAAATTTTACGATTTTATTGCGAAAAAAGTAATACAAAATGTGTATATTAATATAACATACTTTATTAAAAAATTATATCTGTAATATATATAATATTTCTACAATGTTGGTTAGCCCAACATTTTATGTTCTGTCGAAACATATCTCACTTTCTTGTAACCGTTTCAATTCATTCAACAATGATATTTAATAGCGATAATAAACCAGAACACCCGGCTTTTCGTGAACGTCGGCATGAATAACGACTAAAAATATTTAAACGCGTGCGGTAAGCCACGGTAAAGCATTTGCATCAACCACCCTGACTTTTCACGACCAGCGTGGTTCGATGAACTTGCACTCGCAAATGCCGTCCGCACGTTTATTTCCGTTTTTTTTTTTTTTTTTTTTTTTTTTACGTTTCTCCTTCTCACATATACACACTTCTCTTTCTCTTACACATACACACACAGAAGACATATACGCACCAAACTGTCGGCGACACGTGCGCCGGCGTGTTGTATCCACTTGTTGAAGTGTCAGCGGCACGTTGCGCGTTCACGGTGGCTGCACGGTGTGCTCCGTGATTTTCGAGCTGGAAAATTATCCTGATGTCATTTGCGGCTATGCGCGCGCGTTTACGCACGGTCGTTGCACTGACCACCACTGCTCGAGTATATCGATAATCTCTCTCTTTTTTTATTTATTTTTTTTTCTTACGGCCTGTCAGAGTTGCTACTATCGGCGATGTTTGTCTATCGCTTCGCTCATCGAATTGCGTGATGTCATACAAAATATTATCGTTCAAAAATCACCAAAATATCGCTAATTCGAAATCATAGATTTTCATGGAAAAATTTTTGAATATAGTATAAATATTTCCATTTTTAAAGAGAGAATAAAATGACGCAAAATAAAATTTTTGAAATGTATTTTTAAAAATAAATTCTTCACAAAAAGGTATTTTTTTATAAATTTTGTTATATAGGCTAATTAATTTGAAAGCTTAATTTTCTAATCCACTGAAATAATATATTCAATAACCAATAATATTAAATATCCGATTTAATCGTAATAACTGAACATTTTAGTACAAATCCACTTCTAATGAACATATTCTATTGCTCTGGTCGTAAGCCCAATGATATTCCGCCCGCAAGTACCTTGTTTTACACAATGTCGAGTGCTGTATATATATCGAATCGAGAGAGCCAACTAATTTCGCGACTCGTGTAATTTTCTTGCGCTTCCGCGACAGAAGCAACCGAGCATTCGACGCTCTGCCACCCGTCGCACCAATTATACCAGCACTTGCGACATTATGCCATCAACGAGAACCTGATGCCATTACCGTTACGTTTAATTGCACGCGAAGGTCGTGTCGTGCGTTTTCCCGCGCGAGAAGTTTCGTCTTACGTGCTCATGTTTTCCGTCTTCTCTCTCTCTCTCTTTCTTCTCTCACTCTTGTACTTTGATACTCTCGCGCCTATATATTTTCTGAGAAATTGTTCAATTATCTAACATCCAAGCGACTTCCCACGGCCAACTATATAGCCGTCGAGTCGTACAACGCGACGTCGTGACCTCGACGACTTAGTGTTTCTCTAAATGAATTTGTACTCTGGTACCCACCAGCATCTTTTTCCCGACACGACGCACAAATTTTTCACAAATTCTTCACACTCTCTGCAGACCTCACATTTGTTCTCCGATAAAAATATTTTATCAATACGTTTACATAATAACGTTCGAATAAGTGCAATATATATACTTTCGACGATACTATCAATTTTGAGATTGTGTGCAATTAAAGTAAAGAATTCTCGCACTCTGCGAAAAACGCGAGCGAAGAAAGATTTATGAGTGGCAATTTTACGAGAGGGAAAAATTCTTTCTAACGACACTAGAGACCGATGTACCCCAATTGTTTGAATAAAATTGTCGTCTGTGTTGGAACTTTTAAAGTCGTCGTCGGTTTGGGAAAACGAATTCGCCTTTAACTCGAGTAACACACAATCGGTCATTGTCAACAACGAGAAGAAACTAATCTCAATGGTTTCCTGGCAAGACAATGACCGATCCAGTCGGTGAAAAGCAAAACAGAGCCAGCATGTATCGTCCTGCGAAGAATGGTCAAGTGTTTTGCCGTTCTTGTATATATGTACAGTTCGTTATGGTCCGTTCCCCCGAAGGACTAGCTCATTAACTTCGTTTATCTCGCTCTCTCGATAGAGCCGGTCTCCTCGATTTTTTGGTCGCGCGCGAATAAGCGACTGACGCGAATGATTAAGTGTCTTAACAACGAATATTTGCCACTGGCGAATATTTTTCTCGATAAAAATTTCACGAGAATAGAAAAAGATTTTAACGCGCGCGTATAATTTGCACCTTAGAAACCTGAAGCGTGTGCAAACTTGATTCATTTAATTTTTTTTCTACGGAAAAATATATCTTAAATTATAGAGTATATATATATATATATATATATATATATTCGCTAATATACCTCGTTTATCATCTCTTATTAATTGCAAAATGCTAGAATTAAGAAGATGCTTAATCGACTAAGAAAAGGCTATGATGAGACCGTGATTAACTATACTGGGCTTAATCTTATCGCGTGGCGACCGCGTCGTAATGGTAGTCGATTAAGCTCCCTTCTGTGCTCTTACGAGAGCAACTCATTATCTTTCTTCCCTCGTTCTCCAGAGTCACCAGATTTTTTTCCACCGGCCCTTCCACTAATCTGCTTCCCAATCCCGCATCGATGGACCTCTTATACCTAACTCGACAAATTTCCGCTTCGCCGATTATTGTCGGAATTGTCGCATCGGTTATATCTCACGATTTATATCTCTCGAATCGCCTTTAATTCGATCTCTGTTCTTAAAAAAAAAAAATTGTCGATTTCAACGTTGGTTAATTGTAAATAGATCGATTCATTGATGAGTCTGATGTTTGAACGTTAGAGTCGATGCCAAGAAAATCGTGTGACCCAAATATTCGAAACTAGGCCTCCGTGAGTGAGAAAGCGCTCGTCGAATTTCGCAAGGCACAATGGCCTTCTTGTATAACTGCAATATGTATATCGGACTGG